GATGATGCTTTACATGAATATATCAGTCTTTTGTGTGTACAGTGTTCTTGTTCCGATTTATCTTGAAGAATGGTGTTCATATATGGGTTCCACGCGATGTACACAAGGCATAAAAAGTACATTTTTTTTGTTCAATTTGAAAAGTTTGAAGAAATAAAGAAATTAAAGAATTACAGGTTATAAGTAGAATTAGACAGAAAAAAAAAGAGTATAATCCACTGGATTTGTGCAGGTATTATTTAATAGTTTTACATGCAGTGTTCTTCTCCCCAGGCATATTTTAGCACAGCAGTGTCACTGTTACACCTATAAATCTACCACTACTTATTTCTGTGCTTCTGGTGTGTCTTTTCTTTTCTTTTCTTTCTTTTTCTTTCAGTAACATTATTTCCATATCTTATATGCATTTCACATATTCAATGAAATATTATGTATGTTGCCATGGTAATCTACGATACCATTACCACAATAAAAATGGCTTATTTTCAAATTAGTCGTAAAATGTAAGATGTTTTAATGAAAGAGAGGGTAATTAATATTATTTTACAGAATTTCCCATAGTTCATTTCACCAGTGTAGTGTATCTCCCATAGTAACCATAAGTCACCACAAATCATGCATGTAGTCTAACCAACTATTACCATGGCAACAAGTAGTACAGAATTGTATTAATTTACTATGACTAATGACTAATTATTAAAATTGAAGCTGATAATCCGTAGAAATGCACTTCATGGCTGTCAGCATAGTTGCCATGGCAATATTAACAATTTTAGTTTACTGAATCATGAAGAATTGTTTGTAAAATACAAATTGTGTTCAAAATTAACTTGCATAAATTTTTCTAAAGTTTTAATTGAGACCTGAAGCCAATGGAAAATAAATATAAATTATTCTTACCATATTTTCTCTTTTAAAAATGAATGTACACCAGAAAAAACATTTATTTTATACTGAATCATTAAAACATGATTTATTTATTTTTTACTATAGACACACTGACGTCATTTATGTAAGCACTAAGCAGAAAATGCACTGTTACATATAAATTTGTAACTTTTCAAGAAAGTTTTAAAAAATAAATCTTTATTGAAATTATGACTCAAATCAGAAACATAGATCTGAAAAGATAGAAAAAAACTTCTTTTGACTACAATACAGAGTATAATGTATTACAATCACCAAGGTTACGCACTCTTCTATCATACATATTTTCAGCTGTATTTATGAATTATTTAACATGTCGATAGCGTATCAGGTGTTCATGGCAAATAGGGCATCACTAAAACATCAACACATGTATTTTGAACATTTTAAATTTCAAAACATATATACCATTGAAATAGTTGCATGTCATTTTTGTAAAAATTACTGTATACGTTTTGAACCCCAAAGTCATCTTTCACAAAAACATTATTTTATATAGTTAAAAAAAAATGATTCAGACTTGTAGTCAATAGTAAATTCTGTCCATTTGGTTAAAAATTAACAAAGAAATGATAGAAAACTACATATAAATTTGGGAATGTTGCAACTAAATTTAGGCAAAAAAATTTATGTTCAAACTAGCTACATTGAAGTCACAAAAATAAAGGATTGCTGAATAGAAAAAATAATGTGCACGCTAAAAATACATATGTTACAGAAATTGGACAGGGCAATTTACGGATTACAAAGTTTAATGAGAAAAACCTATCCAGTGTATATAAATAAATGATGCAATCAAGTGAAATAATATTCCAAGTGAAAATCCAAGTTTAATCAAATCTATCATTTTTTCAATTCTTTTCCAATGTCTTCAAAGCAAATCTTGTAAGAACAAACAAGATTGACTTGTCTGCCATTATTTCATAGCGTGTTCTATCGGTACAGTGCACGTAATCAAGCGGTGATTGCTCTCCCTTCGTTGAACTTGACAATCTTATCTTCAGTTCTCTATGGCGATTGCAGTCAAGAAAACATTTTCTTTTGCTTGGTCATAAAAGTGTAATGACTCTACCAGTCAAGGATCATGTAGTGAACTGTAATGCCTGGCTACATGTTATGGTGACGACTGCGGGAGTTAAGCAGACATATTTACGAAGATTCCATACCAGGAATTTTAGGGTACATCATTTATTCATAGACAATATAAAACATGTAATTTTTTTTAAAATAACACCTGCCAATTATTATAATAAAATTAACTCATAATACTTAAATAAGCATGAAATATTAATAATACTATACAAAATACTAACTCAGTTACAAGCACACCATTGGCTATTGGTTTTTCATGCACTTTGATCTGCCCTAGCAACAGTTTTGGTGGTTTCCTAGCAATGTCTTGTATACCCTAGCAACCCCCACCCCCCATGGCACTACAGTTGACCTCTGAGAGAAAGGTCACATTTTACAATAAAAAGTCTGACATATATAAACATGATATTGTGTGTGTATCTGAATGCAAAGAAATCATGGAATCCAGATGTACTCTCCTATCACAAATAAAACCAATATCATAAACAAGAAATGGTCTTAAATAAGTTAAATATACTACTGAAAAGTAATGTGCTGCATGTTTTGACAAGAAATTTGAAAACACAGTTATATCAACAACACATTTAAATTGTAAATTTCATAATATTACTGATAATTTATTTTTCTGTTAAATAAATAAATAAATAAATAAATAAATAAATAAATAAATAAATAAATAAATAAATAAATAAATAAATAAATAAATAAATAAATAAATAAATAAATAAATAAATAAATAAATAAATAAATAAATAAATAAATAAATAAATAAATAAATAAATAAATAAATAAATAAATAAATAAATAAATAATGTCAATTGTTGACACCTTTCACAAAATAAACTTTAAAAAAATTTAAATCAAGACTTCAATTTGTAGGCAATGGGAATTTATCTACATTTGGTAGAAAATTCTAGAAAAATACATAAAAAAAATGTTAACAAAAATGTCTATTAAAGAATTGAATAATTTGAAATGAAAATAATTGAGAAAGAACGACTATAACTTTCATGGGAATGTCAACACAATGGTAATAAATTGTTATACCCTTCACCAACAAGTGTCAAATGATGCACTTAGTTCCTCTCTATTGTGAATTGTTTATAGATACCTTATTTAGAAATACACCACAATATTACTATTAGCAATCAATCTAACATGTAAATGTCAATATAAGGTTATATACCTTGGTTGCCAAGGTAACTGGCTCATAAACCTAGTTATGAGTTAAAAATATAATTAAGATATATTAAGAAGACGACAAGAAGGTAATAAAACAAACCATGATTATATACTAAAACTGAGTGTTTTCTCCTCAAAAACAGAGGCATCAATGAATAATTAAGGTGTGGATCATAAAATAGTTGTTTTCTATGATGGCTGCTTTTAGTTCTTTATGATGCCTGCAACGAAAGTACCCATGGGAAAAGGACCTGTGTAACTCAGTGAGCAATAAGAAGAGATACCCGGTAGTAGTCAACAAAATATTAAAACCATAAATTTCAGAAGTTTGTTCTATCATACTAACTATCCATTCTTATATCTCTATAGAAAATAGCTAGGTCATTTGCAAATTACAAAAGGTCACACATCCTTGTACTTATGCATGACCCCTAAAGGTCACACATCCTGGTACTTTCTGTGGGTACAAACTGACTATGAATGAGAATTTTTTGATTAAATTTTTAGAAAATGTAAGCAGTTGTGAATGGCTTTTAAAAACAATTAAACATGATAAATCTTAATTTATAATGCTTCACATGAGTTATTGATTTCAGAATATAGTTTTATCTTCAATCATTAAACAGAGAATCCTTATCAATTTAGTGATTTGATGGTATTCTAAGATGCTGAAAACTCAATCACTACCAAATTTATAAAACTGTGGTGATATTTTTTTCGCAATGAATGCGCATATCTTAGAACTAAATATAACTAATACAAATACAACTATAATACTAGTACTTAATGGTAGGCAAGTGCCTCATTAACATATTTTCTTTTTATTTGTAAACTGAATTATAAATGTCAGTTATGAGAATAACAAATTAACAGTATATGAGTAAAAAATGGTCAACTATCAACTTGCTCACAAGTGTAATTGTTTTATTCAAAAATAAAAAAACCAAAAAAAACAGTCAAAATGTTTGTGTTAATGAATAATGATCACAGAAAACAAGCAACTTTCTGTTTTTTTCACATTCACCTTGTTTTTTCTGCAATCTAATTGGATTAAAAACATGAAAAAATGACTGTTTTCAAGTCTAGGGTTACATGATAGAATTCCACTCAACGTTGATCCGTTAGTATCTTCCATGGTTGATCTAAACATAAAGCAGTAGCCAATTATGGACACAAATTAGTGTTTTTTGTACCTTTTTAAACAATAGAGTTTTTATAAACCGTAATGTTTTCATATCAACTCAGTACATGAATATGATATAAACTTTACTAATCAGACATGTATGTGTGCATTTCAATAACTGAAATAACCTTGTGGATAAACCTCAGGCTTTTTGATAGTCAATACACAAAATTTTGTTTGAAGTGTGGCAAAAAAAATCTCTCACGAGCAAGAATGTGAAATAGTGGAATGAGGCCAAATTTTTTTTAAAAAATGAGAAAAAAACAAACTAAAACATCGTTGTTAAAACCACCAATAGGGGGCGCTATACCACAAGAATGGACCGCGAGTCACCGACGACGACCTTGTTCAATACATAGGGACGGTGTACAGTCGTTGAGTAACCAGGCTTCACCGTATTTGAAGTCCGTGAATATCCCTTAAGTGCGCCGTTTTATAAATTGTACAAACGTTTGTTCACGGTTTGACATCAGGAAATTTAATTTGATCGTTGTTATGGTAATGTTAGAGTCAAGACATAACGGCGGTCATTTTGCTGTTGCACCGTCGCCGCTGAAAGATAGAGGTCATAGAGCTCGAGTCAATGATATGTTGTCGTTTTTTGTTTTCACTCCAGATACCTACATTACCGTAACGCCTTGGAGAGAGTTCCTCGATTGCCGTGGGGAACACACCGTGAGTATGGAGGAATCCAGTCTGTCAACTTACCCGACGACCATAGACCAAAGAGTGAGCCGCCCGCAGTGGTGGAAAAGGGACATCGTCATTTTGGCACAGGGGCTGATCCGTTTCCAAGGTAACCAGTCAAGATAATTATTTTATACTTTGACTTTGTTTTATATACAAATTATTTAAATAAGCAGATTTACAAATATGTCAATTACAGTAAATTTCAGAAAGGCATTATGTTTTTTATGAAAATTTGTAAACATTTACCCAGAAGACCCTCATTCTTCATTTAACTCCCAAAAAATATTGTTTCATTGAATAAGTATAAATGTAGAAATATAAATTACAATATGTGTAAAAGTATAAGTTATAACTATAAATTTACACTGCATGACAGTTTAAAGTCATAGCAAGCTTAACCCCCTATACCACAAATAGAACAGTCCATATACTCGAATATATATCTAATTGGGATTTGCAAGGTTTTACTCATCTAGCCTCCCCTCAACAAGGGATAGATTTGTTGACAGATAGCTCCAGTTTACCTGCTATATCGCAGGTGATAGTTTTACCTAGCTTCACCTCCTGCATCAAATGGAATAGTCCACATTGTACAATACAATTGGATTGGTATATCACAACATTAAGATCTGTTTCAATTTGCATAAATACACAAATACAGTTAATGAGGATTAAATGTACACCTCACAGTGTGGTATTGATTCTAGAATTACCTATTTAGCATATATTCCATGGTTACGTGTACGCCACCAGTCACAGTGTCGAGCAGTTAACAGAATCTTCTCCGTAAAATTAGACTGATTTATCTCTGATTTAGTAACGGTTCAAAATGACAACTTTGCCCGCCCTTCCGACGGCATTCCCAGTTCTACCAGAGTTGCCAAACTTGAAGAACTTACGTGCAGTGTACCAGAAGTAAGATAACTATTGAATTTATTCTGCCTCAACGTGGACGTATAGAGTTCATATTGCGTTGCCAGAACACATCAGTGTAATATGTTTTCATTCCATTTATCTATTCAGAATATATAAACTATGAGTTTATAGTGTGTGCATAGTATATGATAAGATTAACGTATACATGTATATAGTTATCGTCAAAGCCGACAAGCGTGACCAGGCTTTATTAAAATCATTTTGTAATTCCGCTGTAAAGTACCAGTTAAATAATTAGGTGCAAGAGCATTTCCAATACTCTAAGATAGAATAGTAGATAAAGTATTTCTAATTGACCATGATTGTCAAAGTTTCCTTCTTATACTCTTATACTATTCACCATCTGCTCTGCATTGCAGCTTGAGAGAACGGACTATACCAGTAACATATCTTATGCTCTGGTTTATATACCTATAGCAGTATTCTGACAAATTATAATCAAAAGCTGGGGAGGTTTTGTGAAAATACAGCTTCCGATGAAATTTATAACACATTATCACATAGGCTTTTATATTATTCTCATTTATCCCATTATGTCATTCCTATCATCCATTACCTCTGTAAACAGTTAAAATGTTACTTCTTGAAATTTATGCAATATGTTTATTTCATTTTGGAAGACACTGACACTTTGAAAGACTACAATTAATGATAAAAAAATTTTTTTGAAAATATGAAAGAATATAATTAGGGTTCATCAACTAGTTAAGAAATTTATAGCCTATAAGATTAGGTAGGTTTTGTGTATTGTCCTATTCAAAATGGCCGTCAGAGTGAGCAATGGTTCACAGGACCATTGTTACCATGGAAACAATGACATTTCGTTGTATGTTTGATTTAACTGAATATATTATATTTTAGTAATGTACATTGCACTCACATTGAACTTGAATTACTGTGAACAGTAAACATTGGTTCATGATTGAATGTTGATTAGATATGGGTAGACTTGCAGACAAATTTGCACACTCTGAGGTCAAAGGTCAACTATTGAAGTATGTTTGACAACAATGAACTGGGCAGATTTTGTTGTTATTTGGAATTTAGAATTTATTACTGTGGTTTAATTAATCCTAAATATTTTTGATTACCAGTATGTTCCACTGAACATACTGGTAATCAAAAATGTTTTTTTCACCTGCACGCAAGAAGTTCCTATTTCACACTTTTTTATGCTATTATATGTTGACTTTTAGAAACTGAAGGTAGCAACAGAGAAAAAAACAAGTTAAAAACTGATCTGTGAATCAGACATTCCCTTAAACTCACTACAAATGCTGTTATAACAAAGTATACATCATCTGAAAGCTTAGATATAGGTGAATACAGTAAAAAATGTTTGTCAGATTTATTACCTACCAGTAATAACGTGGTTGCTCAATTAGTGGAATATACACTTTAATATGTAAATGACAGACATTAAAATAATTCACATTTTAAAAATTCAGCATACATTACATACAATGCTGGGTTTACTGTGCTTTTATTGGAGATGCACTTTTAATAGAACAAATATGGTACTATACAATGTACAAAAATAGACACATTTTATTTCTGAATTGATACTCAATTTTACAATTTAATTAAATCTTGGTAAACTTTGTACATTTCTGTCAGCTTTATCACATCATCTTCATTGGAGACAAGAAAAATTCATATAACATTTTATGAAATTTTGATTTCCCCATCATTGTATTGTCCTATGAATTCTAGTTAATTCCCCAAAATAACATAAATATTTTGTTCATTTCAGAGGAGTTCCAGTCAACCAATATTATGACTTAACTTCATTGAAACGAAGTAACATCAGAAGTAACGATGAACTGTAAGTATGCTAATTATTATTTCAATCATAATTACTCGTTAAATGCAATTATTATTTTGTCAAAAGTTTGGTGCAACATTTTACATTGCGATAGAAGAAGGCTTTATAATAGTCTCACCGTATGATAATTGTTCTTAATAAGGCAATATTTTTAAACTAATTTAAAAGAGAATACATTATTTTCAGTTTACAATGAATCACAACCCAGTATTCACACAAATATGGAATATTAAACAAAAATATTAATAAACCTGTCATCTATATTCCATTTTCAAATACTGTTTGATAAATACCATAATTGTACTATTAGAAGCACATCTCTAATAAATGCACAAAAGTTGCATTTTATTAAAATATTAAAAAAATTATATTGACCATAGACATATCTCTGTCATTTATGTAAACACATGATCAAATATGTTGTTTGTTTGTTAATTTTTTTCACTGTCCCTAACTCATCTCAGACAGAAAAATATTAATTTTTAGATGCATTGACCTGTGTTGCTGTTACCATTGTTATGTTCTAATTGTTTTTTTTTTCTTTTTTTCCCAGGGTTCCAAGACCAGAGTCCATTGACATGACGTAAGTACCATTAAAATCAATTGTTTTTGAAATGAAGTTCTCGCAAACTTTATATCATCATATCATTTCTGACGACTACAATTTAGCATTTTATCTTTCACATTCTACCTTAATATTAAAGCGGGAGGGTCGTCACTTGCGTATGTGCGGGAATTGAGTCCCAAGCGACGATAACAACACATGCTAAAATCGTAAAGGCTCATGGGTAGACACTTGTTTGTAAACAATGATACGCTATGGCCATCTGACACATGCACAGGTGACGACTTATTTAATCCTGATTGATGCTGATTATTTTTCCAGGAAATTGAAGATTAATCTTCCCTTCCCTGCTGAACACCCGTACGCATCGCATCAGCCAAAGTTTGCCCTATTTCCTACTTACGGTAGTAATCCGGATGATCCAAATACCGGAACAGCTGCACAATATATCCAACCATTACATCATTCGCAGCCAGCCGCTCCGTATGATGTAAAAGTGGAAGAGAAGGTCAAAGGTAAGTATTACACAAGTCCAGACTCATCGTACTGTGAGTGATGTAGCTGCTAACCAATCAAAGAACAGAAGACTGTGTCCCTTTAAATTACTGTAAAACCGTTTATTTTAACCGACATTTAATTTAACTATTTTGATGTTTTGAGAGATTTCACTGGGATTCAAGTTCACAAATTTGGCAATCAAGTTTTATTGTTATTTTACATGTTCACGTAGATTTAATTTAACAGATTTTACTTATCAGCGAAAAAAGCGAAATAAAAACCCAGTGAATAATTAATACATTTACGGTATCAACAAAAATATTAAAATTTAAAACCAATGAATAAATGCATTTTCAGTACACTGGGTTTTAGTTTCGCCAATTTCTCGGATAAATGAAAAGAACTAAAACAAATACATGTGAACTTATATATCAATAAAAAAAAAAAGAAAGACAGACACGCATACAGTTTATTTTTCTTGTAGTGCAGACAAGTTCTTCACCTTGATATCTGTATTGTGAATAATGTCATCTATTTTAGGTCATGCGTTAAGAAGGGAAAGTCAGGTCATACCACCAGAATCTCACAAGAAAGCCCTCTCATGGCCGGGAGATAATTTCTATCAGGTATACATATAATATAATATATTTGTAAATTGTATGAGTTTTGCAAGTAGTAAATTTCCTTGGTAACAAAAACTCACAATATGCAATTGATTTCCCAACCATAATAAGGGGGTAGAATTTCTGTTCATTGATGGACATCATCAAATAGTACAAATTTCTGCCATTAAAAATTCACCGATTGACAAGTGACATATATTGAGAGAAAAACTTATTTTTTATTAAAACTAGTTTATTGTATGCTGAATTATTCCGATGTGTGTAATTTTGACCATAGACACTTGTGCATGCACTACTAATAGAGAAAATACAGTATATTTACTAAACATCATTATTTGTTATTTGTTAAAAATAAAAACTGCAAACCACTTTTGTTTATTTATTTTTTTGCAGCTTGCGAGGTCAACATCTGGCGGACGTCAACAGTATTACCCAACTCCACCAAAGATGGTATTACCAAATCACAATGCTCGTTCCCTTGACAACACACTAAGTCCACAATCTGCTAATACTCTGCGCAACGTTGAACGTTCACAATGGGTCACGACGTATCAAAATAATTTCACTGGATTCGGTCCCGCTAATGCCTTGCAATTGGATAATTATGCTGATAAGAAAACAACAGAACTTGTATATGGCGTTGAAGATACAACATTGGTAAGACACATTACGTAGTAACAACAGTACACTAAGTTAAGGGGTTAATAGTAACAACAGTACACTAAGTTAAGGGGTTAATAGTAACAACAGTACACTAAGTTAAGGGGTTAATAGTAACATAAGTACACTAAGTTAAGGGGTTTATAGCAACAAAAGTACACTAAGTTAAGGGGTTAATAGTAACAAAAGTACACTAAGTTAAGGGGTTAATAGTAACTAAAGTACACTAAGTTAAGGGGTTAATAGTAACAACAGTACACTAAGTTAAGGGGTTAAACTTATGCAACCGGGAATGAAATGTGGCGAAATTGTTAAATTTGCGCGAGATAATCACAAGAAAAATATAAATTTCTAATAACAGAAGATGAATTTGTCATAGAGTATCTGTTGCTTGCTTATTATTGTTTCCACAATCAAAAATTGCAACATGGCTACTGAATATTAAAATTCCTGACATTCTAATGCAACTGAACATCATGCAGAATGTTAAATATTTATCGCTTATATCATCACATGCCCATGAAAGACGTACACCCCCCCCCCCCGGTAATCTTGTTTCAGAAATCTTTGATATTAAATAATTTACAAAAAGATGCATCTTTTATATATAGGTTATAGATGATGAAAACAACAGACGTTAATGCATTTTTATTTCAAAATTAAAATAACATCCAGTACCTCACGCTATGAGTTCACAAGACATTAGGATAATCTCTAAATAATCATTCTCTCACAGACGTAAACTCTTGCTTTTATATTTTTAAAAATGTTTACTTGTCTTTGCAAATATTCTTGATAAGAGAGAACCTAGTGTCATCTTAGTTGCCTATGTATATACATGTATATAAATATATTAAAGGTGTTCTGCACTACAAAATGTTATATTTTAGTTAAAACCCTTCTAACAGTGACACTAGGGTCAATTACTGTGACATTTTGTCATGAATCAAACAACTAACAGAAGGACTATGGCCAAAAAAAAAAAAAATTGTTATAAAAAATCACATGCTTAAAATTGTTATAATAATAGTGTTTTTACTCTCAGCTCAACAAAGGCATTCTCTTCATCTTTGATTTCAATTGTCATAAAAAATCCAAATACTATCAGGACATGTCTTTGGATTTTTCATGAAAATCAAAATTTTCTTTTATTCGTTCTGAAGTTATTTTTATAAAAATTGATAAACACACATTTTTAACTGATGTACGATGATGAGAAACAAGAATGTTTCTTTTTGCAGACTTACTTTTAATTTGCGGAAGGTGACACGAATTAAAAATTTCACTGAAAAGGTTACAGTGTAGTGTCAATAAAAAAACTCATTCATTTGAAATTGTGGGGCCTTGAGACACCAACCAAAGAATAAACCTGATATACCTGGGCATTTTATTACAACTTGCGTATTGATTACGTAATTAAATATTGATTCTACTTTACTGTGATGTGTAAACACGATATCACAAATAACTCAATTGTTTACACATCGCTATAGAAACACCATTGATAGTCAGTAAACCATATCAAGTCAGCAGGCAAAGAACCTGATACATTCCTTGTAGTCAAGGTGATTGAGCTGGTTGTCATGCAACTGAGCATGCTCAGTAAACTAATTTACATAACACCAGCTTTTACTGAGCATGTCCAATACAGATACATGTTTTTAGCCAAAGTAAAAAAGCTGATGAATACTGTCTAAATTTTTGAAAAAATTATAAATATATTTACTAAAATATGATGATCCTATGGTATAACATAAACAAGTATCAGAGTTCTAGATCTGTTTGAATAATTTAAGGAGACACATGTGCTATAAATCAGAATACTGTAGACTACTGTGGAATATTTTATTTTCGCTGGAATTAATTTTCGCTGAAAAGGCTTTTTGGGCCTTTTGCTTGGAATTTATTTTCACTGATTTTTGATGAGATTAATGTGAAGTATAGGAAAAAAAGTATATTCGCTGGATTTTATTTTCACGGAATCATCCCTTCAGCGAAAATAGCGAAAATAAATTCCAAGCGAAAATAAAGTATTCTACAGTACTTTATTTTATTTGGAATTTCTTTTTGCTGGGTAAAAACAAAATTATTAAATATAAATATAAATCTGGTTTTCTTGTAACTATTCAGTGGTAAAATAAATGTTATACAACTTTCAAAAATGTTGTTTCCAGGAAAACTAAATTGTAAAAAATATTCTTAGACTATTATATTTAATCTTGCATAATTCTGGTGTGTTGTTGGTTAACTTAACAAGAAACATGCACTATAAAAATCAATAAAACCATGTATGGAAGCCCAAAACCTTGAAACAAATATAGGAACATAAAGCTTTACGAATTAACGTAATGACATCATTTAACGTAACGTAACATTGTTGCAGCAATTCCGTGCAGATCGTCAATATGGCAGGGACTCAGCAGTGATAATTTTACCCAATGTTCTTGTATGTCTGATAACACATTAAATTAAATTAAATTTCCCCATTATCGTAGATATTATATCATTTTACATAATTGATGGCATTACTAGGAAAGAAATCTTGTGACTGTCACAAGCCTCGGTAATTAAAATCAACACTTTTACAAGTCATAAAAAAATACTACATGGGGGATCATAGTGAATAAAGTTTATCCATAAACTGAACATGTCCCTGTGTTCAGGTAGAGGGTGTGTGAATGGTGATCTAAAATTAGAGAGTTTTACTCACCAAATCAGATAAGAAATCAGGTCCCATTGAAACTGATATGAGCACTTGAACTTGAAACACTTGAAACTAAATGAGAGTGGGTAGGAGGAAGAGTCAGCTAGTATTTAATGTTTATATTCAAAAGTCTGTTAGTTTTTTGAAAATTCGATATAATGCTATATTGAAAAAAATAAAGTGTTAACATGAAATGATTCCCCCTTGGGATTTCAAATGGTCAACCCTTATTCTTTTTCAAAATACATTTTTGCTTACTGTTCACGACAAGGTTTTCATATCTGATTTGGGGAGTCAAATTTTGCTGACCACTTTGAGCTCTTTTAAGTGTAATTCTTAACAAATAACGTATAATGTAATATGTAATGACTCAGTTTATATTACTGCTTATGTTAGTAATGTTATTTATTTTTGTTCTATTCTAGCGTCCAAGGTCTTATAACACCTTTTTACCACCCCGTCCATTGGAAGGTCGGATATCTCGTATGATTGGTCCTGCTACGGCTGTTAGATGTGTTATTAAAGATGGAAGAATTGAATATGTGCCATTTACGCCTAAAGTTGATATTGAAATGGATAAGGTCAGTATTTTTTTACCTTTACAAAATACAACTTTTGCTTATTTTTATTCATTTGTCCATAATTTATTTGTTATTTTTTGTTCAAATAGGCATAATTTCCTATTTGCTATTTTTTGAGGAAACAAATTTTATTTTCGTTCGAGGTGACAAAAGTTAACTCAGCATTCGAAGGTTGAGCCTTGCAAAAGTCTAAAATAAATTATCATAATAATATGCAGAATGGACCATTATTTTTGCTGGGTGGCATAGGTCAGATTGGGGGGTGGCGAATGCATGAAAACATTTGGTAGAAAATAATAATCTGTACCAAATATTGTTTTAAATGACACAGAGAAGAAATCCTTGTACATGCTTCGATGAATAGAGAAATGAAATGTCCAGAATGCTTTAAGTGCTGCGAACAATTAAGACAATGTGAAATTACAGTAGAAATAATTTGCAAATAAAACCTAGAAAAATGTAAAATCATAAAAGTTTTGATCTTCAAAAATGTTAATCAATCTGCAATCCAAAATCCAAACAAATTATAATAGTTTCTACCAACAAATAGTGAGTGTCTAAACACAAACACATTTTTTCTAAATGTTGATAAATATTGCAGTATCATTTTATATTTTGAATATTTTTTGTTTTTTATTTAGGTGAGAGAGCATCCCAATCTACCGTCAGAGACACACGACTCTTTTCAAGACCCAAAAACACAGCAATGGAAGAAATTAGAAAATGAACAGACGTCATCTACTGCTCTCAAAAAACTTGAAGAAAAGAAGGAAGAAACTCCACAATTATTTGTTCCAGAAAAAGAAAAAGAAATGTCCATGGATGATTGGAAGAAAGAATTGGAAGAATGGCAAAAGAACAGATTTGAAGATATTACCCTAAATACCAGATGGAAACAGGCAGAGAAGCAGCAACACCATGATGATTTATCGTTACTAAGACGCAAAGTCAGTCATCAAATGCCGATTATGCAACCACCAGTATATTACGATACTTTACATAAAGTCCATACGTGTAGAGCACCCTTTTATTATGACGGCACGAATCCATACGAACTTGATGATGTCACCCCGTGGGAGTATCATCTTACGAAATCCCATCTGGAACTTAAAGAACAAGATGAAGAGGCCGTGAAAAAGCATGCGGAAAAGTCACCAGCCACTCAAGTATCGGAGAAAGACTGGGACAAATACCAGTTTGCTGGATCTACCGGTCAAAATCCAAGTTTGAAAGAACCGAAGAAATATTCTAATTTTCAGTTGTTGCATGGGAGACCACGGCTGGAGAACAGCTTCACACAGAAACCACCTGGGCAGTCAGTGTACACGTATGACTATAATCCAGATTTGGTCAAAACTGTTACCACCGCAACAAAGGATAAGTATGATTTACGTGACCTGCATTCCAGTATACCCAAACCGTTTCGCTCGCTGTCCCCTATACAGAAGAACGGGATGAAGAGCGTTCAAATCTCAGACACCGTTAAAGTAGCATCCGGAGGAAATGGCCAACCATTGAGCGTAATCACTAGACCAGCATCTGTCCCAAATCTTAAAGAATACCGTGGTAACGTTAGCTTTGCACCGCAGACAGATAAGCACTGGTTCCCCGACTTGAATCGTTCAGTGGACTTGGATTACCTACCTCGTGAAACCGGGCAAACGACTCACCCATCACTACAGTATTCCCCGCCAGATTGGGCCGAACAAGGCACGCCGCGTCCACAGTCAAAATTAATACCTTTACAAAACTCTTTCACAAGAACCGATGCACATAGAAAGTTCCATTCTACATTCCAAGAAAACAACCCCGATTTACGTGAAAATATAACGGAAGGGATGAAACATGATTTTCAAGGTGAAAATGCCTATCATTGGCACTAGACATGATTGGACAGCGTAGCATAGAATATTCATACAGTGTGTCTCTTGGTTAGGACTGATGTGCGTAAGTTTACAACAATCTGCCTTTTCACTCACAGTGTTCCTTCACATTTACTCTGTGTATTATCTATACACCATCCCTAAATGATAATTTTTTTCAAAAGTTTTGATAAAAAGAAATCAAATCATGTCTATTATAAAAATTGTAATTAATGAATAGTTAAAATTGAGAAATTTTAATGTATCAAATTTTATGACTGAGAATCGTGACAGGGAAAAGGCTGAAAAAACTGTAAAACTATAATTGATACATCACATCTCCAAACTAAACAAACTGTTGTTTTCTGTGAACTCAATTTCATGAACTCTATGCAATTAATTTGTTATATTTTAATGATTCAGTACACAACAAATGTAACTTTTGGTTTATATACACTTCTAATAAAGATGCGCTTCTAATAGAGATGCGCTTCTAATAGAGATTCACTTATCGATGCACTTCTAATGGAGATGCGATTCTAATGGAGATGCACTTATCGATGCACTTCTAATGGAGATGCGCTTCTAATAGAGATGCGATTCTAATAAGATGTGCTTCTATTAGAGATGTGCTTCTAATGGAGATGCGCTTCTAATGGAGATGCACTTGTAATAGATGCACTACTAATAGAGATGCGTTTTTAACAGATGCGCTTCTAACAGAAATGTGCTTCTAATGGAAATGCTCTTCTATTAGAGATGCATTTCTAATAGAGATGCGCTTCTATTAGAGATGCACTTCTAATAGAGATGCACTTCTAATGGAGATGCACTTCTAATAGAGCAACTATGATATATGTACATTTCTACAGGATCATAGAACTATAGAAGACATTTTAATGTTGTTTTTTTTTCACCATACAGGCAATATATAACTATTCTCTATGCATTGTGGGTTGTTTTCTATGTGCATTATGGGTAATTTTCATCTGTAACAATTGATAGTTGTGTTATTTGCAAATAATGTATATAGACCATAGTAGATTTATTTATTGCCTGCCTAAAAATGACATCATTTCCTGTTGTTCTGATGCTTTGTGGGTAATAATTGACATCCGTCCATAATTATAAGTGATAACATAGCTTCGCTTGACTGAAATATTACCATTATAATAGTAATACCTTAGTAATGCTCTTGTTTTATAGTGTTGAACTTCTATGGATAACTATGCTTAATCTTGTTACCACCCCCCACCCCTCCCGAAATCCCTCTTCCCTTATTGAGAGATACAACTTAATGTTTTAACAAATTTACATTGTTGACTTGCCGTATTGAGTGGGATATGAATATTGTTTTATACACGCTTTACAAGTGTGGATTTTTTTTGAAAAAAATTAAGACTTTTTTGCACATTGTTTTGATAACTTTTACATTTTATTACTTTTAGTTTATAAGCTTTACAAATTTGTTCACAGTTTGTGCCTTCCAGATTTTTAAAGCAAAACTATTTGGCTGCTACATTTTGATTGTGATTTTCTGGTTTGAGATGTAAGAGATTACTTGATTGGCTGATACTTAATAGCAGTTTATATTTTGCATCTACTTAGCCAATCAGCAAATAGAATACTAAATGAATTAGATTGAATATTCAATTATGTAAATGATATATGAAATATTGTCATTTGATTGGTTGATTTCCAAGTTTATGTAAATATTTTGAAAAAATGTCATGTTGCCTTCTGGACTAAGAGATAAGTATTTTCAGGAGAAAATCTTTTCATCGTTTGGTTATTTGAGTGAAATGCTGGATTTTTTACTCACTAAAGGTTAAATGAATGACTTCTGAAGTAGAGAAATAATTTTACAAGATAAATCTTGTTTAGTCTTTAGATTCTTGGGTCTGATTTTACTTCCACTACCCATTGTCAGGCATTCTAATTTTAACTCAAGGATGCTGTCACTTAATGGTGCTGGTTTTTTTCATTCAATATTATTACCTCACGTTTCAAATAGTTTTTGCAAGATATTGCAGACATAATGGAGGTCAAAGATCAAAGTTCATCTGCAGTGATCCACTCTTTATTTCAAATCCAGATTTTGAAATGATGTTCTGCATCAAAATATTGGTATACAAAACATAATCAACATTGTTGTGTATATATATTACATCTTTAATATTACCTTCATTATTAAGAATGATTTTTAAAATCCTCTCAAATTTTTCCTGTACATATTCAAAAAAAGTGACTTAAATTGTATTAATAACCTTTGACATATCTTTAATTCTGCACATGGAGAATGAACAGCGCCCTCATAGTTCATGATTTATATTTACAGCACTTTCTGCGTGTTCCATTGCTATGCAAATTTCTATTTTTTTTTTCACACATGTACATAGCTTGATTTGAGATTTAAAGTGAAATAAAGTTGATTTGTTGAAAGTTGCTATCAAGTTATTTTTTTTGAATGAAATCAGAAATTGTTCCACCTATCCAAAAAGAGGGATTAATATTTACAAAAATAATCTGCACATACATGTACAACAATTTTGGAAAAAATAGGTGCTACACAGAAAATGACAGAAGAAAAACTATTTATATGAAAAAAAAAACATTGGAGGAAAGGAAAAAAAATGTACAGCATCACCCTGAAGACAACCCTAGATCAATAGGAAGAAACAAATAGGAGTTATTTTCATTTCACCCTTTCACAATAAAAATGTATTACATGTCACAAAATTTTACACAATTCTTAGTTAAAATGAAGTAACATGCAGACAGACACTCCACTACAAAATTCAATAGCCCGGCCATTGAAGTGTACATATATATGTAAACAGACTCACAGTAGAAAATAAGGAAAAATACAGGAAACAAAATTTACAATAATGATATCAATGGAATGCCCATACCACAATAACTGCAGCTTACTCAGGCGTTAAGAGCAATACAACTCATTCCAGACATACAGGAAAGGACTCAAATTTATATGCAACAAAATACGATAAAAACAAAGGTGTATATTTAAATCGCCTATGGTGGCGCATACGTCTTCACAATAAAATTTATAATTGAATATTTGCAGACCGTATATTTAGTTAAGCATTAAGTGTAATCAGAACACATTTGCAGTTAAAATCCGTTATATCGTCAAACTAAATTATTTTTTATAACTAATATCTAACATGAATTGGTCAGAATGAATCTAATTTGAATAATACTATAATCAGCACTTCATATTTGGTAACCGTGATGCATTTGCTACAATGGCCGATATATCTAAATAAGGCTGGAAATGGAGGTTCGATGGCGGTGAGCTGAATATTCAGTGTCCAATATGTTGAAAAAATATGTTGGTCAGCAATTCAGATAAAGAGACCTTGAACACAGTGATTGGGGCCTAACAAACCATATGCTTCTGGTCAGTTCAACACCAAAACAATTGAAGGCCGATGTCACTATACAGCGTTGACGAATTGATTGAACATTTCTTCAAAATTTGTACGTCATTGAATAGTTTAGCACAATCGCATCAATACTCCATTTTGGAAAAACAATTTGACTAGAATTATTTTCAGGCATAAGGGTCGATACTTCGAAACAAAGGGGGTGGTAAATAATTCAGTTGATATTTATTGGTGTCCATAAAAAAGAACACCCAACGCGGTCATTGGACCATGTCATTTAACTTACAATGTAAATGTTAGTAATAACAAAAGTAATGTAAATCGTAAATCGTAAATCCATCCATTGCATTTTATAAAAAATTACATGTGTATTTCTTACAATGCTGTGTTCTTTAGAAGTTGGTATGAAAATGCGTATGGGAATGGTAAAAAAACGTCCAATACATTCTTGGTCCCTCCTCCATTCAGAATTATCAACCCCTATCTGAACATATTGCAAGAATTCCTTATCTGATTTGTCTCAATATTTATCTTGGTAACTAAGGTAACCAGCACCATTATATTTGGCAGTCACGTGTTCACGCAGTCCCGTTTAAGAACACTGAGAATTAAGAGGAAAGCATTTCACTCCTTTTCACTCAAGAGAACTATTCCTTTTTTAAGAAGCTTGCCATTCTCCGTTTCATACAAGCAAGGCCAAACGTAGCGGACGATTCTTTCTCCATTATTTGGAGTGACGTCACAGGTACTGTCCGGTTGATGTTCGGTGCTGTTATAGCAACGATTGTCAATCGAAACGTCTAATGGCGGAAACTGGATATTCAGTTGCCATGACACTTTGCAACAAACTTGCACGTATCGTTGAAATTGGTCGTTTTCTTTTATTTTACTAATAAATGATTCTGAAAAGTCGTCTTCAATCCAGTCATACAAACCCTGCAAAAGGAAGACGTGTAAATTAAGGTGATTAATATAAATAAATGAAAAAAATCGTTATGTAAATTTGAAATATTCTGTTTCAAACTATTTAACTATAATTGATTTATGTTGTGTCCTTATCAAGGTACTCCAAACTAAAGTCAAAACGCGTGGGCCAAAGAAATGGTTTCCGGGAGACCAAAAATAAAAGGAATGACATCCATTATTCTGCAGATGAAATAATTAAACGACAATGTACCATCTGTGACGCCAACATGACGTATATGGGTGATGTCTATGTCATTCAAATCGACAACTGTGTTTGGTTATGTAGAAGTTCGTCATCTACATTATGGAGGGAATCTTTCAATAACAGTCTTCATTGATTGTCGATTACAGATTAAAATAATGACGCTTTGAACAGGCTTCGTGTCATCAATGTATCCGTCTGTGCTTCGTGTCATAAGAGGGCGCGTTATAATAAATTTGTATATACCTCTTCTATTTCTGTCAGTGGGCATGAATTCATATTCTCATTTAGGAAGGATGTGATTTCTCTTCTCATTGACGCTGGTAGTTCTACCTCAGACGTGTCCTGTTTAAAAAATAACCATGACAACGCTTAAATTTGACATATGAACCTGTTTGACAATGCCGTATTAATTAGTAATGGCTTTATCAATGACACAATGGTGTACAGTAGCTAGTGAATCACTGTTAGAAATGAAGTAATGTTATCTAGTTAATGACTAATGACATCGTGCTAACTCGTGAAGACGTAATGTTACAAGAAAATGACGTAATATTATTTAGAAATGAGGTAACGTTTTTCATTGATAACTTGATGTAATGTCATCAAAGCGATGTTATGCAATCTAGCAATGACGTGATTTGCTAGTAATGACGTAATGATATCTATAAATGACGTACACACCTTTGTATCCAACGCATTGGGTGGATTACCAGGGCTATTGAGAATTGAGGACAGTAAATCATACAACGTCATCACTAAATATTTAGCGGTAC